AAAGGTGGAGAAGTTAGGTCTGATCATGTTGTTGGCTTGTCTAATCAGGCCTCAGGACTTTCTGGCTCTACTTGATCCTTGTCTTCATGGGAGCTTGGGCACCCAGCAGACAACCATGCATTCCTGACTAGGAACCCTGAGAAGAAGGATGCTGAAGGCCACTTCCAGATTATTCACCACTGTCCAGTTTAGGATTACAACAGACACTTTCTGCTCCCAGGAGGCATGGTAGGGGCTGTCAGGTTGACATTCAATGGCACGGGGGATGCCTGCACATGGTGTACTGGGCTCTCACATTTAGCATTGAAGTTCAAAACTTTAAGTGACATTCCATTGCTCTTGCAGAGAATTTCCAATCCTTCACAAAGTCCAGAAACTCTGCACCTCCTGGTCACCCTGGCTTGTCACTAGATCTTTCTCAGGGGCCTCTAAACACTGCACTTAACCCTGCCTGGCTCACACCCAACCCCCAGACCACTGTAGGGCCATCTATGCTCAGGCTACCCCTCTTGGACTTTCCAGTCCAGAGTTGTCCCCTGCAGGTTTCTACTGTTCCTCGCCTTCAGGTGGCTGCACTGCACATCTTGTATAAATTCAGTGAACACCAGACTTCAGTGTTGGAGGGAGGCACTAGGAGATTAGAAATGCCACCTGAGTGATTTGTTCACGTTGCCCTGGCCATCTTTTCTGCTTGGAAGAAGAGTAGAATATGCTTTGTAAATGTTAACCATCTTTTCTCTCTGTGATTAAAAAGCATTCCTACTGATGGATCCTGCCAGTGGCTTGGTACCTGAAAAAAATAGTATCCAGATGTGAGAGGTTCTTTCTAAATTTGAGAAATAAAACAATGAGAACTTGTTTCACATTAAGTCAAAATTCAGATCCTTCAAAAATGTTTTTCTTCATTGCAAAACATTATTTTCTGGTAATGGATTTGGGAGAATTGGCTTAATTTTTGCATGGCTGAAATTGGAAAATGATTGAGTGTATTTTTAATGAGAAAACATAAAATTTATGAAATAAGAAGAAAAATAACATTCATTTTATTATGTATGTTCCTTTCATATGAAGTGTTGTTTTGTTTTACTTCAATTTGAACAAATAAAAGAATGTTGCCCAGATGATGGTCATGCTTTAGTATAAAGAAATCAGCCATGAATAATGTCTTCAAGATTTTGGAGACTTGAACTGCTGTCACTTTGGAATTCTAAAGTGTTCCTAAATCCACTGTTTCCCAGATACATTAGCAGAGAGCTGTCTCAGAAGCAAAACAGACAGAACTCAAACTGGCATTGCTATATGGGATGTCTGAGTCCCAAGTGCTGCATCACAATATTTGACCCTGCTTATTACTTTATAAAAAACACATGTAATTAGGAATGTCGCAGTAATAGTGTATATTCCAGCAAAAATACAACTTTATTTATTGTTTGGAATTACATTAAATCTTTGGTAGGCTTTTCTTGGGATTGGCTTGTATGACACACCTGATTTTGAAATATTTCAGCTGGCACTGTGGCTCACTAGGCTAATCCTCTGCCTTGCGGCGCCGGCACACTGGGTTCTAATCCCAGTCGGGGCACCGGATTCTGTCCCAGTTGCTCCTCTATGCTGTGGCCAGGGAGTGCAGTGGAGGATGGCCCAAGTCCTTGGGCCCTGCACCCCATGGGAGACCAGGATAAGTACCTGGCTCCTGCCATCGGATCAGCGTGGTGCGCCGGCTGCAGCACGCTGACCACAGCAGCCATTGGAGGGTGAATCAACAGCAAAAGGAAGACCTTCCGCTCTGTCTCTCTCTCTCTGTGTCCACTCTGCCTGTCAAAAAAAAAAAAAAAGAAATATTTCAGATCCTCTTTGGCTCCCCTTTTCTTTTCTTTTTTTTTTTTAATTTATTTAATGAATATAAGTTTCCAAAGTACGAATAATGGATTACAATGGCTTCCCCCCATACCGTCCCTCCCACCCACACCCTCCCCTTTCCCACTCCCTCTCCCCTTCCATTCACATCAAGATTCATTTTCGATTATCTTAATATACAGAAGATCAGCTTAGTATACATTAAGTAAGGATCTCAACAGTTTGCTCCCACACAGAAACATAAAGTGAAAAATAATAGATGATTTTTTTAATGATGATGAAATCAGATCAGACCTATTGTCATGTTTAATCCCAGTGAGAGTCAAGTTGTGAGCCGATAGTTTCCTTCTTTTTTTTTTTCTTCTTTTTTTTCTTTACAGAGGATCAGTTTAGTATGCATTAAGCAAAGATTTCATTCTTTTCATCTTGAACCATTGTATCAGTGAGCATTACAGGCATTGCATTGTTAACTTAATTGCACAATGGTAAAATAGTGACAAGAAGGTGTGCTCTACACTAGGCAAAGTTAGAAGGAAAAAAAAAAGTAGAGAAAGTACTCTCAGGAGAAAGTTGCAGAGAAAACTGCAGTGGGAAGTCCTGCAAAAGCAATGGAAATGGCCTGGAACTGAGTGGAAGGCTCAGCAACAGGCATGAACATGAAAAAGGACCTAGAGTCCACTCTGGTGAGCAAAGTACAGTCAAACTGCATGGGCCTGCACAATTGTTAATACAGATGGAGGGAAAGCTAGTGGACTGCACTGTCTTTGAGTCCAACTGGGAAACTTCATGGGAGCAAGGCAACTGCTCACCTTGAGGGGAGGAATAAAAAAGTGGTGCATCTCTCTCTTCCCTTCTCTCCACTTCATAGCAGTGCCCTGTGGCTAGCTGTGGGAAGGCTGATGCCATTTGGGACATAAACAGGTAGCAGCTGCTCCAGCTCTTCTGTGCATACCCAGCAACTAGCAAGAATTGTCAGCAGGGGCAACCACTGCTGTTTAAGTAAATTGGTGGTCACTGTCTCCACCTTCTCATCAGGTAAACACCAATTCCTCCATGCCCAAACTGCAATAGGCTTGGAGGAGAATCTAAACAAAGGGAAATGCTGCCAGTGGGGATGTTTGTACACACCCAGCACAACTGTGAAAGGAGTGGGGCTGTGGCCAGCAGGTATTGTACATACACATCACCCAAGGATTTTTCCAGAGGGAAACATTCATTCTCCACTTTCAGTCTGGCTGAGAGGCTCCATCTGCCAGGGTAGAATACATGGGCAGTGGCTCCATGAACTCCCCAGTCACTGTGTGGACAGAACAGGCTAGCAGGGCAGAGTGCACCCTCTTACAGCCCTTGACCATGGGAGCGCTGGGTGCTGAGACTGTGAAAACACTGTGACTGCCTGGGAGGAGGCAAGGTGTAGCCTGGGTCTGGCCAAGCTCTGGATGCAGAGTCACACTCTCAGAACTGTTTGGTTGCCAGGGCAAATCCCTGTAGCAGGAATCATGCTCACAGAGAGGACTATGCAGATCATTTGTGTGGTTCATACAGAAGTGCAGATGAGTGTTGAAGACACTGGGGACAAACACCTGGGCATTACTCAGCTTGGAGGAAAAGAGGTGAGAGGCTGATCACACCAACAAACATGACCATCCTCCCTCCACTTCTGTTAATAAGAGGAGAGTTACCAAACCCAACTTGATTGTTACTCTGGATACTCACCCCACTCTAGAGCACTGAACAGAGGTCCCTGGAAACATCCATCATACACCTCTTGGTATTCACTGAAAGTACAGACAATGCACATAGGCATAGCTCAAAGATACAACTCATCAGAGGAAACAAAAAAGAGCAATTACCTCCACAAGAGCCTAAAAATAAATGTAGAAAATTAGGAAATGAGAATAAGGAAGACATCATGGCCCTTCAGAGGAACACAACAATTTTTCAATATAGAATGTGAAGGTCAAGAAATGGATGAAATGATGAAAACAGAATTCAAAAATTAGTCATAGGATTACTCAAAAGTAGTCAGAAGCAAATCCACAAGCTAAAGAATACCATATGTGACATGAATGAAAATTTTTCACATGAAATTGAGATTTTAAAGAGAAATCAAAATGAAATATTAGAAATGAAGAATTCAATAGATTAAATAAAAATGCAGTAGAAAGCCTTAACAACAGATTTGGAGAGGAAAAAGAAAGACTATCCAAGTTAGAAGACAAATCTTTGGAAATAATTCAGTCATACCAGAACAAATGAAATTAAAAAGCATAAAAACACTGTTTGAGATGTATGGATACTATCAAATAATCCATATATATGAATTAGGAGGTCCTGAAGGTGTGGAAAGAGAGAATGGAGGTGCCTGCTTTGTGGCATAGCAGATAAAGCTGTCACCTGCAGGGCCAGCATCACATATGGTTACTGGTTCGAGTCCCATTTGCTCCACTTCTGATCCAGCTTCCTGCTAAAGCCTGGGAAAGCAGTAGAAGATGGCCAAAGTCCTTGGGCCCCTGCACTGGTATGGGAGTCCTGGAAGAATCTCTTGGCTCCTGGCTTCAGATCAGATCACTTTAGCTCCAACAATTGCAGCCAGTTAGGGAGTGAACCAGCAGATGGAAGACCTCTCTCTCCCTCTCTCTCTCCCTCTCCTCTTCCCCTCTCTCTCCCCCCTCTCTCTCTCTCCCTCTCCTTCTCCTCTCTCTGTGTAACTCTGACTTTCAAATAAATAAATCTTTTTAAAAAAGAATGACTCTCATACAGAAATCATAAAACAACAAATGCCTGTGAGGATGTGGGGGAAATGGTACACTAATCCACTCTTGGAGGGAATGTAAACTGGTGCAGCCACTGTGGAAGACTGTGTGGAGATACCTCAAAAGCTGTATATAGACCTAGCATATGAACCAGCCATCCCACTTTTGAGAATTTATCCAAAGTAAATGAATCAGTGTATTATAGAGTTATCTGTACCTTCATGTTCATTGCAGCTCAATGTATAATAGCTAAGATATGGAATCATCCCAGATGTCCATCAACTGAATACTGGATTAAGAAATTATGCTATACACACACACACATACACACACACACACACACACACACACACACACAGTATGGAATATCATGCATTGCTAATTTGAAACAAAATGATTGCAACTTGAAACCATTATACTTAGTGAAATAAGCCAGTCCAAAAAGACAAATACCATATATTCTCTCTGATCTGTGCTAACTAGTATAGTACCTAAAAGGTAATCTATGGGAGTGAAATTGGCACTTTATCATGCAATGATTTTGAACAGTCCTAACTTGACTATTGAGGAACATTGCTTTTTGTTTCTTTTCTGCTTCTTATGATTTTTTTCTTCACACTATTGTTGATCCTTCTACTTAGTCTAGTTAATCTTATGAGTATAAAGTTAATTGAAAAGAGGTCTCTGTAAAAAATAAAAATGGGAGTGGTAGAGGGAGGAGGAAGAAGGATGGGAATATAGGTGGGAGGGAGGTAGGGTTATAATTATCATTAAGTTCCTAAATTTGTACATATTAATGGCATGAAATCTACATCCCTTAAATAATATTAAAATAGGGCAATTAACATAATTTAATAAGACTAACAACAAAGCATGAAAAAATAGTTATTAATTTTTCTTTGAAAGGTGGAGCAGAGGGAAGGAGTGACCAAATGATACAGGGAGAGGGAGGTAGAGAAAAAGAGCAGTTTTATGTATTGCTTCACTCCTCGGATGGCCAAAATCCAGGTCCAGTATAGGCCAATGCCAGGACTCAGTAATTCCATGCAGGTCATCTCTTGAGCCAGCTTCATCTGCCTTCCCAGGTTCATAAACAGGAACATAGGTCAGAATCAGAGCAACATTGTTCTTGAATTGGCTCTTTATATAAAATGCCAATATTGCAAATTGTCACTTAACCAGCTGTTCCATAATTTCTGAAAGTTAATGGAAAATAAACTTAAATATTTACATATTTTTGTGAAATTCATTTTTTAGATTCTTATACAGAAGGGTTACTCAAAAAGTTCATGTAACATTTTTATTGTTGGGTGTGGGTCTTTGGTCTCTCCATTAAGATAGCAGTTGTGAAGCCAGCATCACATTGATCTGCCTAGATTTGAGTCTTTTCTTGTCCTGATTCATGCTGCCTACAAATGTGCATCCTGGTAGGCAAAATGTGATGACTTAAGTAGTGAGATGTCTGCCCTCCCTGTAGGAGAACCTGGGCTACCATCTCATCTCACAGCATTGCCTTGGCCCAGCCTTAGCCTTTGAGAGTAGTTGAGGAGTGAGCTAGTATATGGGAAATCTTCCTCTCTTCAATTCATATCAAAAATAGTCTTTATAAAAAATCAGACTTGAGGACTGGTATAAGGCATTGCTTGGCACACCGGCATTCCATATAGGAATATAGGCTCCTCTTTACTACCATTACCTGGGAAGGCAGTAGATTATGCTCTAAGTGCTTGTGATCCTATCACCCATGCGGGTGACCAAAATAGAGTTTCTGTCTCCTGGTTTAAGCATAAGGAAAGATAAAGTGATATTTGAATTCTGAAAAATGATGAACTATTTGGAATAAGTGAAAAGCTATTTTTAAAATTTTTAATTGTTACAAAATACTCCAAATAAATTGTGGGTCGATTAAAGATGAAATTGGGAGTAAAATGTAAAAAAAAATCATAAAACAATTATAAGGCTGGAGTAAATATTGGAGATCTGCATAAATGTGCTTTTATGTCTTCTGGAAAGTGTGAAACCCTTTTGCCTCCTAGGTTTACACTCGATGACACATACAACCACACTTTCTGAAATCACAAAAGTAGTCATTTGTGGTTGCTAGCTAAACTCTGATGGAAACCAGATGTGGTCTACAGTGATAGAGAAGGGGATGATGTGAGGGATCAGGAAATTTAGAAAGATGTTTTGAGGAAATTGTCTTTGGTGCAATGCCTTTAAGCATCCTGAAGTTTCCTGCTACTTGAGTCCCAATGCATTACAAAGACTGCTTCTCCACAAAGGAGTTTTTCTTTTACTAACAAGCATCAACAATAAGCCAAGTCCCACTTAGGCTCAGAGTGAGTGCAACCTCAAGATTTGTGAGCCCTGGATTGTGCATATGTTCCCTGAGCCACCTGGCACCTGGGCCTTAGTGTTCATGCACCAAGCCTGCAGCTGTGAGAGGTGCGCCCATGTACTAGTGTTTAGTGACATTGTTCTGCTGCAGTTGTATTGAATGTAGAGCCTGGAAAGCGTGGAGCTGCCCTGTGGCCACCTTGTGGGAACACCATTTGGTCTGTCTAGATCACTAGGATTGGGATCCTGAGGCAGTAAAAGTGGATGGGTTATTGCGGTGTCTGTGAGGACACAGCCTCAGTGATGAGGGAGCTCCTTACCTTCATGAGTGAGGAGGGAGTCACTCTTGACCAGGTGCCCAGGTCATCCTTCTGAGGAGCAAACCCAGAACCGGAACCTTGGCTGATTCCCATGGACTCCTAATTCCCACTGATAGACGTTTATTTATCATTCGAGAGGGACTGTACCAACAAAATTTATATGGAATTTTCCTTTTAATATATACAATTAAAAAGCCATATTGTTGTGCAATTTTAGAGAAGCACATGATCCAAAAACCACTTCCTATAATATGTCAACTTCTGGGCTAAAATTTATTTCAGTAAGGGCCAACTTTGTGTCAAAGAAAGTAAAGCCAGTTCATGTACAGCTGTTCCATTTCCAAACCTGTCTCTCTACTAGCTAACAGCCTGGAAAAAGCAGGGGAAGAGGGCCCAAGTGCTGGGGCCCTCTGTCCTAAATGGGACACCTGAAAGAAGCTCCTCTTTTCTGGCTTTGGCCTGGCTCAGCCTTAGCCATTGCAGTTGTTTGGAGAGTGAACCAGGGGTTGAAAGGCATTCACATTCATTGTCTTTTTCTTCTCTCTCTCTCTCCCTCCCTCTCTCTATAACTCTGAACTCTTCAAATAAAAATAAATAAATAAGTCTTTAAAAACATTCTTTCAGTAAATCCCAGTATCCATGTTATATCAGTGCACACCTCACTTGATGTGTGCATTTTTGAAGAGGGGGCACTGCAGTGAGAAGATGCCCCTGTGTTCATGGATAAGGAGGCTTATTTTTGTCAAAATGTTAGTACTTTATGTTTATTGCCTTTACCAAAACCACAAGGTTTTCAAATTTTAGAGTTACAAATGCTCTTCTACTGTTGTGATGATGTTTGTAATTTATTTTTAAAAAGTCTTGTCTTTCTAGATATGACAAGGTATTGATTTCCACAAATTAATCATTTATTCAAAATTGGAAAGAAATGAACGAAAGAACAGAAAATCCAGAAACACTCAAATATAGGTAAGCATTTAGAATTTAATTTCCCAGTGGCCGGCACTGTGGCATAATGGGTAAGACTGTTGCCTGCAGTGCTGGCATCCCATGTGGGTGCCGGTTCAGATCCTGGCTGCTCTACTTCCCATCCAGCTCTCTGCTATGGACTGGGAAAGCAGAAGATGGCCCAGATCCTTGGGCCCCTGCATCCTTGTGGGAGACCCAATAGAAGTGCCTGGCTCCTGAGTTCAGATTGGTGCAGCTTGGCTGTTGTGGTGAACCAGAGATGAAAGGTCTCTCTCTCTCTCTCTCTCTCTCTCTCTGCCTCTCCTTCTCTGTATAACTCTGACCTTCAAATAAATAAATCTTTAAAAAATTCATTTTCCAATTAGTTCCATATAGTTTCCAATAGTTCCATATTGTTGCCCTGTTAACTTAGAGAAATTAGCTTTAGGTTTTATGACCCTATAACTTTTATGATTCTGTGACTATTTTAAATTTGCATTATTTGAAAGGAGTTAAACATCTTTTCATTTGATTATTGTTTATATCCCTTTCTTTAACAGGCAGAGTGGACAGTGAGAGAGAGAGACAGAGAGAAAGGTGTTCCTTTGCTGTTGGTTCACCCTCCAATGGCCGCTGTGGCTGGCGTGCTGCGGCCGGCGCACCATGCTGATCCGATGGCAGGAGCCAGGTACTTATCCTGGTCTCCCATGGGGTGCAGGGCCCAAGGACTACTGCACTCCCTGGCCACAGCAGAGAGCTGGCCTGGAAGAGGGGCAACCGGGACAGAATCCAGTGCCCTGACCGGGACTAGAACCTGGTGTGCTGGCACCACAAGGTGGAGGATTAGCCTATTGAGCCACAGCTCCAGCCTAGCATCCATCTTGATATGACCTTTTCACCTCATTCCACCACAGCTATAATCATATGGCTTTTTTGTTCTTCATTCATTCATTTTGGTGTCATCTATTACCTTTGTTGACTTGTGAATGTTGAGATATCCTTGCATCCCCGGAATGAATCTCACCTGTACATGATGTATTATCTTGATGTAGTATTGGTTTTGGCTTGCTAATATTTTTGAGAATTTTTGCATCTATGGTCATCAGGGATATCAGTATGTAGTTTTTTGTGTGTTGTATCCTTCTTTTGTTTTGGTTTCATAGTAATACTGGTGTTAAAAAACAGTTTGACAGAGTTCTATTTTTTTCAATATTTTGGAATTGTTAGAACATATTTGAGTAATTTACTCTTCTTTAAAATGATTCATTTGCAAGTGAGAAAGAGAGAGAAAATCTTCATTCCACCAGTTCACTCTCCAGATGACCACAGTGCCTGGGGATAGGCTACACTGAAACCAGGAGCCAGGAGTTTCATCTGGGTCTCCCAGGTCAGGGGTAGAAGTCCAAGTACTTGGGCCATCTTCCCCTGCTTTTCTCAGGTCATTACCAAGGAGATGGATTGGAAGTGGAACACGAACCAACACCATAAGGGATGCTGGCATCACAGACAGTGGTTTTACCCACCGCACTGCAACACTGCTCCCAGATTTATTTCCTCTTTTTTTTTCCTCTTTTTGTAGAATTCAGCTGTAAAACCATCAGGTCCTGGACTTTGCTTTGTTAGGAAAAAATGTTGTTATTGCTTAGATTTAGGTATCATTGCTTATTACAGGTCTGTGTAAATTTTCTGTATCTTCTTGAATTAATGTTATTAGGTTGCTTGTATCCAGTCATATATCCACTTCCTAAGCTTTTCCAATTAGTTAGCATATAGCTTCTTATGATCCATTGCACTTTATCAGTTGCAATGTTTCTTTTTTCATGCCAAATTTTGTTCATTTCAGTTTTTTCATTGTTTCTCTGACATGTTTGCCTCTTGTAATCAACTTTTTGAAAATCAGCTTTTCTTTTTGTTGATCTTTTGTATTGTTTTCTTAGTTTAAATTTAATGAATTCCTTCTCTGATCCTCATTGTTTCTACTGTCCTAATAATTTTTTCGTGTTTTTTATTGCTCTTGTAAGTCTTTAAGATGCATCATTTGACTATTTATTTGAAATATTTATTTTTAATGTATACACTTAATGCTATAAACTTTCCTCTTAACAATATTTCCATATACCATATGTATTTTTGATATGTTGAATTTTCATTTTCAATTGCTTCAAAATATTTCTTTAAAATTCCTTTAATGAGCAACTTGTCATTCAAGAGCATGTTGCTCAATTTTGGCATGCTTGTAAATTTTCCATTGTTCTTGTTGATTTCTAGTTTTGTTTCTCTGTGGTTTTAGAAGATATAAAGCAGTTTTAAAACATTATTGAGATTTAGTTTCCTGCCCAATATATGGACAATCCTAGAAAATCTTCCATGTATTTATCAGAAGAATATGGGTTGCATAATTGTTGGATGAAATATTCTGTAAATATTTGTTAGGTCAATTCGTTAAATAGTGTGGTTGAAATCTGGTGTATATTTCTTGGTTTTCTTTCTTTAAGATTTTTTTAAAATTTATTTATTTGAGAGGTAGAGTTACAGACAGTGAGAGTGAGAGGCAGAGACAGAGAAAAGTCTTTCTTCCATTAGCTCACTCC